AGAGAAAGGAATAGAGCGGAATTTCAGGTTATTTTACATTTTCAATTTTATGTTTCAATTTATGTTAATTTGAATTAGAGTACGCTAAAGTGATGAGAAACTGATAATACATCAGGTAGTGATTATAAATAGCTTCACAACCAAACTTATTAATTACTGTCAAAAGTACTTTTTATAATTGATGACTTATCAAGCACTCTGTATATGCATATATTTTAGTGGTGTAAAATTCAACTGCATCCTTTACCATGTTACTGCCCGGAGTAATAATTGGTGAAAAAATTTCTTTTTGTCATCATATTTATGTCGGAATCAAAGTGGATGATATACGATTAAAAGAAACATCATTTATTATAGTCATGTTCATGTAATTTGGAGACATCATATCTATATATTGTCATTATTGTATTCATTTACGCTTACTATACACAATAATATTCTTGTTTGTACTAAGCTATGGTCAGTAAGACCTATGAGATAAGACAAAAAGTCAGTTCTTCAGAAACTTAAGATTATAATAGACAAGTGCATGATTTTAATTGTTTTTCAATGTGTTGGTTGGTCGAATGTGAAATTTCAAAAGCAAATAGTACTTTACTTAAATTATTTTTCTTACTTAAACACCTCACATATGAGAAGAAAACACAGGATTAATAAGGATTTAGATTCAAGTTAAGCATTTTTATTTCAATTGTGACTAAAACAAATTCTAATCCAATAATAATATGCACTGTGTTGTAATAGCAGCTTACTGTATCAAAATCGACGATAATTTCATTGCGAAGTCTTAAGCATTCTACACCTTTGTTGTTAGCATCCAATTCCATATAAAATTTATCGAATTCATTAATTGTGTTAAATACTATCACGGCATTTTCACGAGCTTCCGAATATAATTCAGCGCTGCAATATTCGCACTTCTCAAATAATTAAATGGTTTTTGCTTACTACATTTTAGAAATATTTGCTTACTTATATTCAATTTTCTGATCTGCTCTGTCAATGATGTGCTGACTGTAGCTCTAAAGTTGGTAAACATTGCTTATTTGGGAGAAAATAAACAAAAAACATATGAAAATAGGAATCGGAAATTACTATAAATTCAAATTAATATCTCAGTTTTCGCAGCAGTAAAACAATTCATAAAATCATTGATACAGTACTTGGATTTAATAAATACTGTTAATTAGCTGCTATAAAAAGTACTAACAAATGAAATAAAGCGCAGAAAATTGAACAATAAATGTTTAATAATACCTTCAATTCATATATATTAATAAAAAACCAAAGTTTACGACAACCTTTGCATTTGATTTTCTTTGAGGATATATTCAGCAATATGTGCTGACAGAATATTCTCAAGGACAGCTCGATTCTGTGCATGCTTTTTTTCTATTTCTCGACCTTCAACCTATGCCTTCAAAAAATTTTACTTACATTATTAATTAATTGATTATTTTATGATTTCGATCATAAATTCAGACAATTTCGAGTAACTTGTGATTTAATTTGATAAAATTTCAAGTTTGGAAACTTAGTTTGTCATAAAAATTTGTGCATAAATCAATAAAGAGAATTGAAAATTGTTATTATTACTTAACTTTCGGAATCTAATTTACATCAAAAATGTAACAATGCTAACTTACTTGAAGATTCCAAATCAAATCAAATCGAGAAACCATTTCCGATCGACGACTTTGTATTGCAACTAATATGAATGCAAATAC